CGACTGGGGGGGAGAGTCGGTGCCAGAGGGGGCTCGATGTCTGGTGGGTGAGGAGGAGCTGCAGGGCTGGGTGAGGGGGGGCGCGGTGCCGACGCCGTGCGCGCGTGCCGAAATAACTAAGATGGTCGTGGCTGGTGGAGGGGGCGCGCCAGATGGGCGGCGAGGGGGAGCTGGGCTGGCTGGGGGGTGGTCGGGCGGTGCCGGCGCCGCGCGTGCTTATCCAAAGAAGTGGTCGTGGTAGAGGGGGCGCGCTGGCTGGTGGGTGAGGGGGAGCTGGCTTGGCTGGGGGGGGAGGCGGTGCCGGTGCCGGGCGTGCGCGCCGGAAGAAAATGGTCGGGCCCCTAGAGGAACCCTGTGTGCGAGAGTCGAACTGGCAAAGCCCACTCCGAACCCCCCAGGCACTCCCCCGGCGCCTCCCCCGCACATGGTGCCTGCCAGCTTCCGCCCCCAACCTGCCGAAACAAGCCCCTGCCAGGAGGTTCCTGAAGGGCCTCCAGTCGACCCGCGACGGGCGGGGCAGCCGGTGGCCTGCGAATGGCGACGGGTCGGGCCCGCGACCCATCACCACAAACCCCCGACGTCGTGATTTTTTCACAACGTCGACCCCCCGAAGTCTGGACCCCTTCCCGGGACTGGCTTTTCATCCTGAGCCGTTTGTTGTCGGCCCCGAAGGCCGGTAAGGCCCCCCAGACGGAAAAAACTCCCGCCCCGATTTTGTCATAACGCGAGGGGTCTGGGACCCCCTTGGCGCCGCTGCGCCGTGCCCTGCCAATCGACTGAGGCGCCCACCACGCGAAACCTCAGCACGTTTTCCGTCGGCGGCGAAGCGGAGCTGGCTGCACCAGCGATAGAGAGCTTGACGGGGGCACCGAAAAGCGAACTGGCCAGCATGCCAGAGTGGGAAAAGGGCAGCGCGGGCGGCCTCCTCCTCGTCCTCCTCCTCCTCCTCCTCCTCCTCCTCCTCCTGCTCCTCCTGCTCCTCCTGCTCCTCCTGCTCCTCCTGCTCCTGCTCCTGCTCCTGCTCCTGCTCCTGCTCCTGCTCCTGCTCCGCCATCTCCTCCTCCTCCGCCTCCTCCTCCTCCTCCTCCTCCTCCTCCTCCTCCTCCTCCTCCTCGAAACTAATGCCACTCGGAGGTGGAAGAATTCTCACCGGAGCGCGAGAAACCTCAGCACATCCACCCAGCGCCGCACGGGCCGCCCGCACG